GGGGCTACATAAGCTACTGTTGCCAATAATACTTTTAGAAGAAGGAGATGCGATCACTGAAACATGATATTTATTGGCCTTGATATTTTGGGATTTCTTTAGAACCCCTGTTCCCTAACTGTTTCTGGTGATAGAATAGAAAGAGACTCTGAAAAGTGAGGCGTATATACACCACGTTTCATGGATAATGTCTTCTTCGTCTGCTTCCTGGAACTCACCTCTTCGTTTCTATCAAAAATCTGTTTGGATGCGAAGCGCCCGACGGTGGGAAGCACTTGCCTTTCGTGAAACATCTACCGATGCGCCAATTCTCTTTCTATACATGTGACTCGACAATAAACATTTTAACTCTATTCGTCTTGGAGTTAATTGGTCAGTGCGATTTACTCCGTTCTCCTCGCATGGCCTCGGGGAGGACTGCTTGATAATTTTTTAACAGTCTGTGAAGTAGTCTTGTGGCGTGTAAATGTGGTTTCACTTTATAAGCCGCATAGCGTAGTCCCCTTTTAAATTCGTGTCTTCCGAAAAGCATGGGATATTCATTCCTCAAGAAAGTGATAGAGTCAACAATTTTGCGTTTATTAATAGACACTTGGATTAGACGTTCAGATATGACCCGCCATCGACAGGAAGGAAATTATGACTTTTCATGGTGACTTTTAAGGAAAGCTCTTAGTATATAACCTCTGCCTTGTGTTTTTGATAGCGTTATTAGTGGAGTTAAGGTTTACGAGAAACACCCATAAATATTATGTTAGCATAACTAAAAATTTGCATTGGTAGCATATTCGTCGGTAAAGATTTTCTCTAGCAGAGAGAAAATGGTGAGCACATTTGAAGTCTTTTTTCGTGTACACGTGTTTGCGGGGCGTACCTGTAGTTTTTTTGGCAATTTACCGTTTTGCAAATCGTGCTCTGCAGCCAGAGCGTCCCCGTCGGCGTCAGTCCAGGCCATCCTGTGCGGACGATAGGAAAAACGCAGGCTTGTTCTCATTGATTTCCAAATACAATGGAATCTCGGTTACCAAGTTTAGTCCGTTCTGGCACTGAGTTTGTCATGTGAAACGCTCATCCTGCGAAACGTAGTCAATCAAACAGCATCGGTTCATTGATTGCCTGTAGGCGATCGAGGACGCACACACTAGGAACAAGACTCAACGACAGATATAGACACACACGCACTAACAAATCGTCACCTAAGCGGAAGCTCGTCAATCGAAACAACTGTTTTGCTATTGGCTCGCTATTTACCTGAAATTTTCATATATGGGGCTGCTCGTCAACCGAGTGTCCATCCGTTAGCATTTTTGCTATATTCTTAGTTTGAACAGCTGTGCGTTTTAGGTATTAGTGGGCAAATGATTACACACTTTTGTCGTTTTGACCAGGAGGGAGAAGACTGCAACGGGTAAGCGTCTTAACTTCTACGCTGTAACCCCTTATCTTTGCAATTACGCCTCTTGATATAGGCTGCGATTGTAAATGCGAAATAACTGATCAGATTGAGACTTAATCGTCCAGCATCGCTAAAAACAAACTCACTGTTTTTAAGTTTACAGCAGAAATGTCAGCTTAATTCGGAAATGAGTGTTTGATTCGAACAAATTACCTGAATTAAGTTTTGGGAGGAACTATCATACAGCCTAATTGCAAGACATTTCAGTTACCTTCGAATGCCAGCTTTTGAACGAGCTTCCTACTAGCAGCCTGCAATGAGCTTACTCTGTAAAAATATCTACATGAGTATGCATAAGTATACATAAGTAAAAATATTCCCAAATTATTTTAGATGCCCTTAAAATTCAAATATATTTTTAAGAAAGAAGAACACGAAAATATTGTTTTTGGTCTCGTTTGCCGGAAAACTGCGCCTTCTTCAATAGTAATGCTTGAAGAAATGTTATCTTTCAGTTTTAAGAGGATTCTAATTATGACAGTTTGAAGACCGTCAAGGTTTCATTTATAATATATCCTATCCGTAAGTTTATTAATGCTACCTATAAAGTATACAAAGTGATCCACATTCGTTGGAAAATCTTATGAGAACTATGCAATTTCTTCCTCCTAGCGTATTAAAATATGCGATTTTTCTCAAACAGAATGTATACAGCTTGAACACCTTGGATTCGACCATAAACGGTCAGTATGGGTCAAAATAATTCGAAAATATAGAAAGGTTTTTAACTTAAAGGTATAGTTTTTTTCAAGTATAAAATTTGAAGAGGCCGTAATTTACTGCAGAATAAGTAGAAAAAATAATATTTATGTGAATTTTTTCTATAAAGTCTATTTGGGTTTATAAGGCGAAAAGTGCATACAGAGGATACGCTTCGATGGCGACCAGAAAGAAGTTCGTTGAGCAGTCAGCGTCCTGGTATGACTGAAATATCTTGGCGTAAGTCTGCATAGAAGTCAATATTAAAACTCGGCAACAGTAGCTTATGTAGGCCCACTCATTAATCCCTAGTCTCTGCATGTTTACCCACAAAAACGGTGGTTATAGGGTTTTATGGGTGGGGAATTAGGACACGCAGTGGAATATCGTTAATAAGTGCTAAATGCATTTTTATTTTATTGTATTTAGAAGTGTTGTTGATTTATATCTGTGGGTTTTCCTAATCTGTTTTATCGTTTAACTTATTGCGGAAAAACCCGATTATCA